GAGTTCACATTTAAAAGCAGTTATGAGTTCCACACCACTATGAGAAGTTTGATATAAAGTTTCGATTAGCAGTTATCTGTTGTATCAAAAAGTACACTTCACTAAGAAGACACAAGAGACATTAAACGATATTCGATTTGAGTATATAGATTAAAAGCTTTGTTATTTCTTTAATCACTCCTTTCCGCAGTAGTGGGAATACTACGACCAACACCATTGTGGATTTGTAGGTTATGAAACTAAAGCACCAAACGTACGATCCCAGTCGCCTTGAAAAAATGTTGGCACTGAAAGAAAGGAAACCTTGACGGGTTAATAATCATTACATAAAGATAAAGGAAAGAAAAAGAAACATGATATTCTCAGTAGATAACCCGTAAAAAAAATATATTTAAAAACCAAAAAACCCAACTCTTCACGCACTGGTCTCATCTGTTGACCAGCTTGGCCAAAGCCCCTACCCACCCTAACCTTCCTCCACCTAATTGTCCCTTATTCGTGGTCGGTGGACATACAACAGTATCATATTCTGTTAGATACATGTATTGTTATTACTCACAATCAAAGAGGAAAACGACGTTCACAATCTGACCAAATTAGTAAATCTAAGCAGGCTAGGCTCGAGGGAGGGTTGTTTCAGAGAATTCTGCGACAGGCGTATGAAAAGGAGAAACAGATAATATAAACAATCCCCTGTTCGCCTGCAATGAGCAACAGCTACGAACTATTTATTACTTCCTTACTACCTAAAACAATTAACCACACGTAAGCATCAGCAATTAATAAATCGTCTAAAATGATAGTAAAATATAAAAAAGAAAATTCTTTTTTCTTGCATCCTATGAAAATGGAGGAAATTGAAGGCTCCTCTACACAAAAACAAAGCAAAACATAACAAAACTAAACACAAAACAAAACAAAACACAAGATCTGAAGGAAAGGGAGATAAGAAAAGACGACGCAAGACGATTTTACATCAAAATGAAATAGCAGCATGACTGTGACCACACAGCGTAACGGATTGGCACCAAACACTAGAAAAGAAAGCCCAGTGTGTGCTATTGATCACTGTTTGGTGCATTCAGCGAAATGCCTGATCGATTTATTGATTTATTAAGCAACGGTCTCGCATAATGTAGCCTACCTGTTGATCAGGATACTGCCGTTTTTAGCTTCTGGTCTCAAGAACGGTTTAACTAGATTTGCAACCATTGCTGTATCTTGGCGTTGTCATTTAAATGAACAACACTGGATGTCGTATCAAATCAAGGGACTAGGGGACAAAAACCTGTGAGCTCCAAGAACAGCGCTTGTCAACATTTTCTAAAGTCTGTGTCCACCTTTGCCACCTGTAAGGGACTAAAATTCTCGATGCACCACTATACATGTATTTTTAAGTGGGGCATTATTATTGTTATTATTATTATTATTATTATTATTATTATTATTATTGTTGTTGTTGTTGTTGTTGTTGTTGTTGTTGTTGTTGTTGTT